ACACTGCAGGTGTTACACCATATTCTGTGACCACCGTATATTATGACTGTGGCAACAGGCTGCTGTGTTTAGAGTTGGATGTAACCAGGAAAACCTGGAGTGGAGTTTTAGTGGTTTGATTATTCTCCTATTAATCAAGTGGAATGGATTTGTTCACGAAGAAAGAAACTGCGCCGCCTGAACTAATCTTTCATAGTAAAAGTGGGGGGTTCCAAATGAACGTTTTTTTAATGTGGGGGGAATTGTCCCCTTCACATATAATGGTTGTGACGCCTATTTTTTTTATTTTTTTTCATTTAGCCTTTATTTATCCAGGTTAGTCTCATTGAGCCACGAGAACTCATTTTCAAGAGAGACCTGTTTAGGGAGCACATGGTGGGGGTTAAGGGCCTTGCTCATGGGCCCAGAGTGGGGCGAATGAGGGTGGGGGCAAGTGTGGGTGTTTCACCTACCCCACCCACAATTTTGATGTTGTCGGGGCCGGGGCGTGAACCGGCGATCTTCGGATCACAAGCCCACCTCTCTAACCTCTGCGCCACCACTCCCCACTCCCCTCCTGGTTGTGACGCCTATGGCTCGCACACACACACACACCTACACACATCAGTGTGTCCCCCCACATTACGGATGCTTCTGACGCCCTTGCCAGAAGCAAAATAAAAGCAAATTTCTCCCCGTCTGTTGGTTTGGAGGTGTTGCTTGTGAAAATCTGGCAGCGCATGAAAAGCTGCTGCTGCTTGTGAGAACCTGCTGCTGCTCGTGCACTAAAATGAAAATAAAAACATTTAGAGAAATATTTGGGTCCAAAACTGAATGTTGTTTCAGTCAAACCATCAAACCAGAAGCAGAACCCTGAGACATCTCCTCTCTGAACTCTGATCATGTCTCCCGCTGCACATGCTCAGATAGTCTTTTTAATTTTTATGTCACCAGATAAGATGGTAAAGCAGTCCAGGTCCAGCAGGCACCAGGATGGGCCGAGGCTCTGCAACACGCTCCATGCATAAAAGCTGTGCATCAAGACTGGAGATGGAGCCCCAACTGCTGTTCTGATGTTTCTTCTTCCATCAACAATGATGAGAGGGTGACAAACAAAAGAGACGCTATTCATTTCACTAATAACGCTTTACTATGATAATCAGAAATATCCATCTACACTACTCTGTGAAAAAAAGAACACCTCATTCATGACTGTAGTTTTTTTTTTTTCATTTTCAAAATAAAGACTTTAGTTGCAAACTTTTCCAAATCTGATGACTGTGAAAGTACCCATTTACATCACTGTGTGGCAAAATTGAACACGTGCATCTGACATTCAAGGTGTGTATGAACAGAGAGCGCAGGGTGCAAGGTGACAAAAGACCCCCACAGCCCCCCCACCTCAAAAATGAAAAGTCGTCTCTCCCCCTCTCCTGAGGGGTGAGACGACTTCTGCCCAGCTACATGGGTTCCTCAGAAAGTTGCTGTGAAGACATGGGAATAGATGGAGGTTTAAAGGTATAGCTATTGTTGTTCCTTGACTCACCCCAAGGTTGCACTGCTCTCTCGGCTCTGTCTCCTTTCTGACGATGTCTCTCCAAAAGACGTAGATCGACCCGAGTTACCAGATCCTCCAACGACTTGAGGGATTCAGGGTATTCCTTGATGGCCAACTCGTCTTTAATATTTTCATTAAGACCTTGAAAAAAGGCATCGATTAGTGCTTCTTCATTCCACAGGCTGTCGACTGCAATGGTATGAAAGTCTATTATATATTCAGTCACCCGTCTCTCTCCTTGTTTTATAGAAAATAATCTTTGGGCTGCCTCTCTGTCAGGCAGGACTGGATCAAAAACTCTACAAAGTTCTTTAGCAAAGTCATTGAAGTGACAGTACCTGGAGTTTCTTTGCCATTCAGCCGTCCCCCGTGATTTAGCTTTGCCAGAGAGTAATGAAATGACATAAGCCACCTTGGATCGTTAAGCATGGAAGGAAGATAGCTGAAGCTGAAACTGAATGTCACATTGCACTTAAAAGGGGCAGCACTGCATAGCTTCACCTTTAAACAGCTCAGGAGGTGGCAACTGAGGCTCCTGGCTAGGAGAAGCATGACATTGTGCAGTGGCATAGGTAATGGTTGTTTCCTGTGCAGGAACCTGTGAGGGGTTTAGTTGAGCCATGATGTGTATTAAAGTCATTATTTCTTGCAGCTTAGTTTCTAATTTAACTATGGCCCCTACCACACCAGAGTGCCATTCCTGTGTCTGTGTCAAATCCATTTTGGCCAGATTATTCTGAAAAGAACCGGGTTTAGGGATTCCAACCAGATCACAGACAGCAGGCAGGTTTACAAGATATATTAATAAACTGCTTCTGGTGGAGGTCTTAGTCCTTGGGCTGGCACAGTGAGCAGCAAGGAGGCAAATCCAAATGGCAGGTTCAGAGAAACAATCAAGGTCGATACACTGGTGGTCAGAGATCCGAAGCCAAACTTGAGACAAGATCCAAAAGTCATGGTCATTATAGAGGAAGCTGAGGTCATTTCCATAAGCAGAGCAGATAATCCAAAACAGACAGGCAGAGAGCAAGGTGAGGAATCCGTGGAGCAGGTATGAGGTCGAAACTAGGAAGACAAACGAGACTATGGCATGAATGCTGGACATTTACTCACTGTGAGGCTTTCAATAATCTGGCACTGAGTAGAGTGACTATGGGGTTTAAGTACAGGGGAAAACAGGTGAGCTGCATGAGGGCTGATTGCAGTGACTCAGCAGAGTGGGTGTGGATAAGGGAGCAGATCAGGAAGTGATGCAGGATGGGAGATAGGCATTGCAGAGACTTAGTAACTTAAACCAGGGCATGAATGAAAAGAGAACATGGCAGGTTGGAGCAGAAACATGACACTTGATAAATTGGCAAAACAATTCCGATAAACAACAATTGTTTGGGTAGCCAGACTCTGTTTTTAATCTGCCTTCAAGATGCAGGAAGAGGGCAACCTGCATTATGAAGGAATTATGAATTACATTTCTATGCTGATGACACAGTTGTTTAATGTCGAGCTAAAACAGTTGCTAAGGCTTTCCAGGTTTGCAATCCGCATTTGACATCATCCAGTCAGATTTGTTCCACCTCAAACTTGTCCTAAATGCAGATACAACTAAAGGGATGGGTTTTTTTTCAAACAGGAAGTCCCAGCGGTTCTTCCTCCGATTTTATCCTCAAATGGTGTCCCTATTGAGTTTGTCAATTCTTGTATATATTTGGTTATCTTGGTCGACTCACATCTCTCTTTTAAGCTCCACGTGGAAAACCTAGTAAAGAAACTGACACTTAAACTGTTTTTTTTTTTTTCAGAAACAGATCCTGTTTAACTCTGAATGTTAGGAAACACCTTGTATCTGTGACCTTCCTTCCCTCCATCGATTACAGTGACATAATTTACATGAACGCTCCTACAAGAACCCTGCAGTTGTTGGATGCTGTCTATCATGGTGCACTAAGATTCATAAACGGCTGTGATTATCGTACCACCCACTGCTCCCTGTATTCACTGGTTAAATGGAAATCATTAACTTCACGCAGACTCTCCCACTGGTCCATTTTCATCTTTACATCACTTCTTGGTCTGCTGCCTTCATACATCTCCTCCTACATGTCTCTGAATGAGTGCAGCTATAGCGTGCACTCTCAGGACATTATTACAAGCAGTGTTCCCTCAGTGCAGACTGAACTTTGCAAAAGGGCCTTCTCCTACTCCGCTCCTGTTTCTTGGAATATCTTGTAAAAAGATCTGAAGCTCTCGACCTTGATCTCTCTAAGTGGCTTTAAGAATCTGTTGGACTCCTGACAAGGACCAATGCAGACATGTTCCTGTTTTTAGTTTTCTTCATTCGCCATATAATCTAGCTGTTTTTGCTACCTTTTTTTGCCATCTTATTTCAATTTGTAAAAAAAAAATCTGTATGCCTCTTTTATGATTGTCTATTGTTGTCATCACTCTTTGTTGAAATCAGGTCTCTCTTGTAAATTAATCCTCAAGGCTCAATGGGATTAACCTGTCTAAATAAAGGTAACAGGATTCTGAGTACTAATGACCCCAAAATGGCAGACTGAACAGACTCAAGACTCAGGTAAAACAAAAAGTGATATTTACAATGCAGGAAAAAACTGGTGGCTGGGCTGCGGAGGGAAGCAGGAGATTGGATGAGTAATTGATTCCAAAGAGATGGGCCAGTGAACAATTATTCTGTTTAGGAAATCCTTCCTTACGGTTGGTTCAGTTGCAGATGGTGTCGGATGGAGGAGTCCAATGTTGGGCCTTGAGTGGGTAATGCCGGTGTGCAGGTTCGGAGGACCAGAGCAGCCAAGGAGCCAGGAGGGAGCCGAGGAAACAGGACGAGGCAGAACTGGCAGACCGACAGAAAATCACAAGGTTAGTCAGGATTCGCCAAAGTACACGTGAAGGCTTTCGCTGATTTACCAAAGGCTATCAATGCTCAAGCGTTGGCTGAACGTCTGGCACGGGTTTAAATAGTGCAGCAGGTGCTGGTCTGGAATCAGGTACAGGTGTGATCCATTAGGTGCTCGTTGACTGCGTAGGAAGGAGGTAGAGGTAGAAAGAACTAGGAATCCCACATTGCCCCCCTCTTAAACATCGTCTCTTGGCGATTTCTTATGGGGATGTTCTTTAAAGAAGGTAGAGATCAGAGTGGGGTCGAGAATAAAAGATCTGGGTACCCAAGAGCATTCTTCAGGGCCATACCCCTCCCAGTCAACTAAATACTGGAGACCTCGACCCCTGTGACGGACATCCAACAGTGGTCTCACTGTAAAGGCAGGGTTATCATCAATCAATTGAGGGGGAGGAGGGGAGTTGGGAAGGGGGTTCAGGGGACTCTCCAAAACAGGTTTCACTTGAGAAACATGAAATGTTGGGTGAATACTCATTGTAGAGGGTAATTGAAGGCGGACAACAGAAGGATTTATGATCCTGGTTATGGGGAAGGGGCCAACGAATCTGGAAGCCCATTTCTTGGGGGTGTCCTTTAACTTGATGTCCTTAGTTGACAACCATACCTTCTGACCCACTTGGTACCTGGGAGCAGCGGAACGGTGTCAATCAGCAAACTTTCTGTTCTGGTCAGCAGTACAGAGGAGGGCTGCTCTGGTCTGGCACCAAATCCTGCGACACCGACGGAGGTGATGCTGAACAGAGGGGACAGAAATTTCAGACTCCTGGGTGGGAAACAGGGGAGGGGAGTATCCTAGGGAAGCTTCAAATGGAGACAGGCCGGTAGCAGAAGTGTGAGAATTATGTGCATACTCCACCCATGTTAGATGTTGACTCCAGGTAGTGGGGTTATTTTCAATCACACATCTGAGGGCTGTTTCCAGGTCCTGGTTACACCTTTCAGTCTGTCCATTCGATTGGGGGTGGTACTCCGAGGTCAAACTGGAGGTGGCGCCTAGAGCTTGACAGAAGGATTTCCACACTTGGGAAGTAAACTGTGGACCCCTGTCGGAAACAATGTCAAGAGGGATCCCGTGCAGATGAAACACGTGTTTTACAAGGATCTGAGCAGTCTCTGTTGCTGAGGGTTGTTTAACCAATGGAATAAAGTGAGCAGCCTTTGAGAAACGGTCAACAATAGTGCAAATGGCAGAGTTACTTTCTGATACAGGGAGACCAGTGACAAAGTCGAGGGTAATGTGAGACCAGGGGTGTCCATGGGAGGGTAGGGGGAGAAGAAGGCCCACCGGAGGTTAGTTGTTGTTCTTGTTGCATGAACAAGTAGAACATGCTGCTACATACCCCTTGATGTCCTTATCCATGTTGGGCCACCAGAAATGTCTCTTTGTGAGAAGGAGGGTGTGCCTAATGCACAGGTGACAAGAAAATTTTGTATCATGAACCCAATGAAGGACCTTACTTCTCACTGTTGCAGGGACAAAGAGTCTCCCTGGGGGGCCAATGCCAGGATCTGGGTCTCCCTTTTGGGCGTCGAGGATCTCCTTTTCGATGACACAGGTCATAACTCCCACCGTGCAAGATTGTGGGAGGATATTCTCTGGTACCTTAGGTTCCTCAGATGAAGAAAACTGTCGAGAGAGTGTATCAGGTTTAATATTGCGAGTACCGGGAATGTAAGTGATAGAGAAATTGAACCGGGCAAAAAACAGTGACCAACGAGCTTGACGAGCATTGAGTCTTTTGGCCCCCTGAATGTAGGCCAGGTTCTTGTGATCGGTTTGGATGATGAATGGGTGTTCTGCTCCCTTTATCCAGTGCCTCCACTCCTCCAAAGCCATTTTTATGGCCAGCAATTCACGGTTGCCCACATCATAATTTCTTTCGGCTGGCGACAACCGTCGGGAGAAGAAAGCACATGGATGCATCTTACCATCTGAGGATCTTTGGGAGAGAACTGCGCCTGCCCCCATGTCCGAAGTGTCTACCTCCACTATGAATTGTCGGTGGGGGTCAGGATAGGACAAGATCGGAGCCGATGAAAAGAGATGCTTCAGGGCCTGGAAGGCGTTCTCAGCCTCGGGGGACCAAGAGAAATTGTGTGAAAGTGATGTGAGTTGAGTGAGAGGCTTGGCTACCTTACTGTAGTTCTTGATGAAGCGTCGGTAGAAATTAGAGAACCCCAGGAAGCGTTGAAGTTGTTTGCAGTCCTAGGGTGTGAGCCAGTCAGTCACGGCCTTAATTTTCTCTGGGTCTGAGCTGTCACGATCCTCGAGGTTGGAACCCAATTGCAGAGAGATGAGTGA